GTAAGGCCCCTTCCAACCCAAACCATTCTGTGACTCTGTGACTCCATGATTCTGTGCTCCATGGGGATGTGGAGCTCGGGGCCGTGCAAAGCTGGGATATCCTCACCCTGAGGAGGCTCAGCTTGGCTTAGCCAGGGCAGTGTTTCCCATGCACATCATCCCTCAGCATCACCCCCCCTCCTTTCTCCATCCCACCCGGGGCCCTTCTCACCTGCACAGGGGGTCAGGAGGGGGTGGGAGCGTGGGGCAGATGGCTGTGAACAGCACCCCAAGCATTCCTGGGTCAGCACATCCAGCCTGGAGCTGGAGCTGGAGCTGGAGCTGGAGCTGGAGCTGGAGCTGGAGCTGGAGCTGGAGCTCAGCCGGCCCTGCAGCCTCACCCCGCCGGCAGCCCCGGCCGTGGCCAAGAGCCCATTGATTTTATCGACCTGAGCGTGGTACCCTGCTGCAGGTTTGCTTCCAGTGCTCACCTCTAACGCGCCTGTAGCTCAGCAATTAATTACCTGCATGGAATAAATTCTCAGACTCGCTTCACTGGGCAGAGCAGATGGGAAGCTGTGCCCGGGAGCTGCCCGCAGCTTCCGTGGGGCTCTGCCACAGCCACCACGAGCAGCCACTTCACCTCCTGCTGCTGCAATTAGGGGCATCTTTAGTATAATCTGAGAGTTTTCCCACCCCAAACCCCCTCTGGAGCTGCACAGTGGGGTGGGTCCAAGCTGGTCCCTCTGCTGTGCCCAGGCTGGCACGGTGCCACCCACCAAAACTGACGGCCTCAGCTCCCCGTGGAGCAGCATAAACTTTCCTTTGCTGCCCAGCTGAAGATGGATTTGAGCTGGCAAGCTGGAAACAACAGGCTGCCTTGTGTCATCTCCCTCCCTGAACCCCGGCAGATGCGTGGCAGCTCTCCCTTCCCCAGCCCTGCTCCCGCTCCTCTGCTGCCAGCGAGGGCTCCATTAGGGGAAAAGAGGGAAAAAATAAGTTCTGGCAAGGAGCAGGGCTGATGTGTGACACAGAGTTCTGCTCGACAGTACAGCAGGTGGCAGGGATTGCTGTGCTCTGCAGCAGAGTGACTGGATCCATGCAAAGCACTGCAGAAGGAGACATCCAGCCTCTCGTGGCTGCCAGGGTGTCCCAGCACCACTTGGTCCCACTCCCACTGTCCCCAAGCACCTCTGAGTGTTTCCCCTGGGTCACTCTCTTGTTCTCCCCAGTGGTCTGATCTGGCCAAGGGCTGAAAGTTGAAGCCTGACATCATTTCCATCTCCAGTTTCACGGTCCTGGTCTTCGTGGCTCCTGCCTTTCCTGCCTTTGAACCTGAAAGCCAAGATCAGTAGGAATCCAGAGGCATCGGCCTAAGCTCTTCCCGCTCCTCAGGGCCTGATCCAAACCCCACATCCACGGACAAAATGCTTCCCCTGGGCTTTGTGGAGCTGGGGAGTCCCTCCTGAGGAGGAGGGAGATGAAGGACAAGGGGAGGCCCCACCACAGGACTTCACTTCCCAGCACTGGGAGCAATGGGGTTGGGACAGGGGTGGCTGAAGGGGATGGAGTGAAGCATAAACCTCCCATTTCCTCCCACTCAGCTGGTTTATTTTTTTTGGAGATCCCAGGGGGTTGGAAGTGGGGGTGGAGACCCCTCGATGGGATTCATGGCAGTGCAGGGAGGACAGGGAGGATTCCTCCTCTCCATAAAGGTCACCAGCCCCTATTCTAAACCCCGAGGTGCATTTATATTTAATCCTGGGCACGAACAATTTTCCAGGCGTATTTTGGTGCTGAAAGGACACGGCCAAGGTGAGCTGGCTCCCCTGTGGCTCTGGCATGGATGGAGCTGTTGTCAGGCAGTGGAGCAGTGCAGTCCCTGGAGCAGCCACATCCATCACCTCCCCGGGGCATCGCCCACCCAAAGCTCTGGGGCTGCTGGCAGGGACCCCCGGGGGTCTCTGCTGCACCCCAGGACCCCCTGGCCCCTCAGGGAGGGCAGAGCATCCCCCCAGGCAGGGTGTTCCCTGGAGTTTGTGCCGGGCACAGCGGAGGGGAGGGAGCGCGGGGCCCTCCCGGGAGCTGCACTCGCATCCCAGCGGGAACAGGCTCGTGGTGGTGTGGGCTGCTCCATGCCCAGCTGCCTGTGATCCCACATCTGGTCCCCTCCAGGATCCCCATCCTTGCCTCCCACTGGATTTCAGCCCTCAGCATCCCCCCAGTCCGCTGAGAGGTGACAGCCGTGGCAGAGGCGGCCGCGAGCTGCCCCGGTCCCCCAGGAGCACATCTGGCACATCTGGCTCCTCTCAGCACCAGCAGCAGAGATCTCACCCTGGAAATGTCACCTGGGATGGGGAGCTCGGGAGGGGCCTGGAGCCCCCCACACCTGGGCAGTGAATTCCCTGTTTTTCGGGAAGAGGCTCCGGGAGCTGCCTGTCACTCCAGCGTGTCGGTAGTGCCTGAACCACCATGACTAACGGTTGTCACATGTTTGTTCCCTCCTGCTGGCCCCGGGAGGAGCAGTGTGCCTGTGGGGGAGTGCCTGATTTGCAGTTTTAGAACAGCTCCACGTTTGCCTTGGCGTTTTTTTGGCAGCGGGAGGAGCGGCAGAACGGGAGCTTGGGGTGCTCTGTGAGGTGGGGCTGAGAGGGGCAGCGGGGCTGTCACCCCGTGGGGACACTCTGAGCCTGTCCCCCAGCCTGGCTGGAGGGTGCTGGGGGGTTTTAGGACCCCCTCGGTGGGGATCCAGAGGAGGATCAGCTGGAGGAAGCAGCAGGAGGACTGGAAACCCCACCTAGGGAAGAGCAGGACCTGTTGGCTCCTGCTGCTGTTTGGGGGCTGTGAGCTGTGGCCTCCCCTGTCTGGTGGGGGATTGGAACCCCCTGTGCCCTTAAAATAAGGAGTGCTGAGGGATGGGATGGGATGGGAAGGGATGGGACTTCCCCTGTGTCTGTGCAGTGCTTCAGAGAGCCCCAGAGTCTCGGCTGGAGCCTCTGGGCAGGCCAGGGATATAAATAATTAATAGTAATAATAACAATTGAGCAGGATTTCGCAGCATGTGGCCGTGCTAGAAGGTCATGGCAACAAGATCCCCTCCTTGTGTGTCTGTCTGAAAGCCGAGTAAGAGGTTTGGGTGTCGGGCTGGAAAGAGCTGGAAAACCATTTAGTGGGAAACTGGGAGGTTTCAGTGGCAGGAGAGCCACAGTGGGCAAGGGCAGCACCTGGCTCTCCCATGGGATGTTGCCAAAGGGCAGAGGCCAAGACAAACCAGCCATGCAAGTCACACTTTTCCTGCAAGATACGTTGCTTTGGGTTAAAATGGTTTTTTTTCCCAGCTCTTCTCAGTGCAGGTGGAGCAGGGGCTGCTCCTTTGAACTCCACAGAAACAAGTCCCCACCACCAAGCAGGAGACCCTGGCTGCATTGATGAAGAAGTCCAAAGAAATATAGATATTTTGGCATTAAAATCAGTGTTTTACAGCTGTCCACACTGAGAAATTAATCTCTGTATCCAGTTATTATTTTGCTGTTCCAAAACAGCCCATGCGGACGCTCTGTCCCAAGTGGTCTGGTGCCAGAAAAATGCCTCTGCTTTGGAAGTGCAGGAATTTCCCAGAGTAACAGGAGAAAACAGAGTTTTTACATCAGCAGATTCTCTGCAGAATCACCTGTTTGTGGCCACCACTCCCAACAACTCCATGCAGACAAACCTTGAGCTCTGCGAGCCGTTGGTCCCGTGGGTTCCAGCCTGGAGTAGCAGGGCTGGGATTCCTCTCTTTGCTTCCCTTTCAGGAAAAACTTGGAAAGGGCCTGAGGAGAGTTTGTTTTAAAAGGCTCATTTCAGTCAGGTGGAGCTGTTGGACCAAAAAACACCTGAGGGCTTCTGGCTCCCACCTCTGTGTTTGCTGCTGGGAAAACCTCTTCTCCTTCACTGCCAGCTCCACTTTTATGTTGTTTTCATCACCCTCGAGGAAGGGAGTTGGTTGTTTCTTTTCACTTGGACCTTCTAAAGAGCTGAGTGTGCCCCTGAGGGTCTGCCATGCCCTCGAGGGGAGAAATCTGAGGGTTTAGTGTTATTACCTACCTAATGCAGCCTCTGTTTCCATAGAGACTCTATAAATAGAATAAAAATTTAAATCACTATTTCCCGAAGTAGCATTTCAGCTACCGTAGATTTATTATATATTTCCCAGGAAAAACCAAAAGGATGGATATTCTCATTGTGAATGGCTGAGGGGAGGATTAAAGGCTTTGCCTGCAGAGTTTAGTGACACGGGAATCTCGTTGCTGGTTCCTTGTCAGCGTTGCAGGTGGGATGGGAATTAGGACCTGCTGGATTTGGACCTTGTGGCTTTAATATCTGGGATTTTTTAGGAGAAGGAGTCCTTTCTGTATGGCCATGAAATCCTCCTCAGCCTGCAGCTCCTGGAGGTCATGTCTGGAACATCAGAGCTTTTCCAAAATCCCAGAGCCTTTGCCAAGTGCTCCCAGCTCCCGCTGGTTTCCGAGCAGGAGCTGCTGTCACGGGAACCAGCGTCCCTGGGGACAGTCCTGCCACAGTAAATCAGAGGTGAAGTGGCCCAGGACGTCAGCAGGGTCAGGATTGGCGTCCTCGGAACGGGGAACGCTCGGCTTGGCTCCAGAGTTGAGGCAGGGAACAGCGGGGCAGCCCCGTGCCCTGTGATCCGCCGGGTTCCTGGGGCTGCTCGGGGAGGGGAGCTTTGGATGTCCCAGGAGCCTTTACTTGCTGCCTGGCAGCTGTGATGGAGCGGGGATCGGGGGGTCTGGGGTCCGCTGAGCCCTTCGGAGATGCTGGAAGTTGCTGCCCACGCTGCTGCCCCCCTGACTGGGCACACGGTGCAGAGGGCACCCGGCCAGAACCTGCCAGGGATGCAAATCTGGGCGATCCAGTGGCTGCAGGGAAACCTGTGCGGGCTGTAATCGGGAGCAGGATCTGTTCCACCATCCATATTGCATGACTGCAGCGTGGCCCTGGCCACCCCCATTCCCGGGAGCCCTCCTGGGAACAGCCCTGTGCTCCGTGGGAATGCCAGTCCCACCCCTGGGAGAGGGACACCTCAGGGGCTGCATTTGGTGGCACAGGGCCGTGAGCTGTGGTTTTACCCCCATAGGCAAGGCAAGGCCAGCCTGGACCATGGAAAATCCCACGGGGAAAAGGCCCCCACCCCTCCAGTCCTTCCTGGAGCAGTTGGCTCTTGTGAGGCTCCAAAGCTGGGAGTAACCTTGGCATTCCTAGGGAAGGAAGAGGCTGCTCTGTGCCCTCTGCCTGTGGGGTTGGGGTCTCTGTGCAGCGTGTTGGCTCCAAACTCTGAGGGTCTTTCTGCTCTTCTTGCTAATTTAAGGATAACCAGGGCTCATTGGAGACCCCCTGTCACGTGGAATGCTGGTGGAGCCACCGTGCTCAGCCCTGTGCGCCAGCAAACGGCCACTGATATTTAGGATTTTCCACGGGTGTAAGTGCAGCGCTGGCAGCAGGGCTCGTTCCCTTCCCAGATCCCTTGGGGACGGCCTGGGGGGTCCCCAGAACCCCCCAGGAGCTCTTTTTACCCCCTCAAAATCGGGAGCCGATTTCGGTCCCGCGCGAAGCTCCGTCCCTCGGAGCCGCGGGCGCCGTTAGCGGGGCGATGCCACGGCAGCCGCGGGAGTTGTTCTCCTCTGCCCCTGTCCCACAGAAAATCCAGCAGCTGTCCGAGGGCTCCATGTTCGGCCACGGCCTGAAGCACCTGTTCCACAGCCGCCGGCGCTCGCGGGAGCGGGAGCAGCAGCAGCAGAACCCGCAGGACTCGCTGCCGCCGCCGCCGCCGCCCGGCGCGTCCGACCACGAGTCCCCCGACGAGAAGGAGCGTTCCCCGGAGATGCACCGCGTGTCCTACGCCGTGTCCCTGCACGACCTGCCCGCCCGGCCCACCGCCTTCAACCGCGTGCTGCAGCAGATCCGCTCCCGGCCCTCCATCAAGCGCGGCACGAGCCTGCACAGCGGCGGCCGCCGCGCCAAGAGCGGCTCCCTGGAGCCCCAGAAGGGCAGCCCCCACCTCGGGCGCAAGGCCCCCCAGGACAGCGGCCTCACGGCCATCCTGCATCAGCACCAGGGCCGGCCCAGGTCCTCCTCCACCACGGACACTGCCATCCTCCTGGCCGAGAGCGGGGCCGTCTACCTGCTCACCGAGGACACCGAGGGCCTGGCCGATAAGGTAGGGCTGCTGGGGGGGAGCTGGGGGGGAGCTGGGGGGGCTCAGCCTGGGCAAAAGGAGGCTTAGGAGGGACCTTCCCACTCTACAACTCCCTGACAGGAGTGGGGAGCCAGAGGGGAGCCAGGCTCTCCTCTCAGCGACAGGACAAGAGGACACAGCTTAAGCTGCTCCAGGGGATGTTTGGGTTGGACATCGGGAAGAATTTCTTTGCAGAAAGGGTGATTAGACGTTGGAATGGGCTGCCCAGGGAGGTGGTGGAGTCGCCATCTCTGGAGGTGTCCAAGGAAAGGCTGGGTGTGGCACTCATTGTGTCTGGGTGACGAGGTGGGGAGGGGTCACAAGTTGGACTCCAAGATCTTGGAGGGCTTTTCCAACCTCAGTGGTTCTGTGATTCCGTGGCTGCCCCCGGCCTGGGCTGAGAACACTCTGCAGAGCCGGGGCAGGGCTGGGTGCAGAACACCCCAAAGTGCTGCTGGGATGAGATTGTCCCTCGGGGCAGCGCTGGTGACACCAGACAGTGGATGGGAACCAGTCAGGTCTGGAGCTGCTGGGGTTGATGCTTCTCTTGTGGGGAAGTGAAGGCAGGGACATGCACTGGTCTGATTCCCAGAGAGGGACTTGAGGGAAAGAAGAAAGGACCTGGCAAGCCCTCTGTGCCAGTGGGATGGGACCCCTGGCACAGGCTCTGAGGGGATCCTGGCAGCCCAGTGCTGGGCACCTGTAAGGGTTGAGCTGTGAATTGTCCCATCCAAAGTGATTTTTGAAGCAGTCCATGCCGAGCTGATGGACAGGATGGTGTTTCCATCCAGTGTTTAGTGCCATTAATTATGAACCAGCCGAGATTAGCCCAGCAGGCACATTGAGTTCACGGGGCAGGCAGGGAGAGGTGCTCCAGGAGCCAGTGGGATTCTCCATGTTGGCTTCTCTCCTTGGCCTTTGGAGCTCAGGGGGTGTCCCACTCTAAAACTGCTCTCTGCAGCCCTGAGGGCCAGAAGTATCCTTCTTTTTTTTTTTTTTTTTTTTTAATAATTTACCTGAAAATACCAGCCACGAGTTGGCAAAGCTTGGCATGGGGAGATGGGCAGGCAGGCTCTGGCATCCCACGGGGGCTCCTGCTGAGTGGTTTGTCAGGAATAGCTGTGCCATGGGGTGGCAGGGGCTGGGCAGAGCTGCCAGGGTGGGACAGCAGTGGGGTGTCAGATCCATGTGCTCCCCCAGGCAGTGGCACCCAGCGGGTGCAGGGGACGGGAGCGACGCTTCCCACGTGCCCCCCACCCAAACACTCCTCTCTGCTTGCTCTCCTAGAGGGAAATCTGACCTGGACACTCCTTTTGCCCTCTGAGCTAATGGAAAAAGGCTCAACCAGATAGTTTTTCTTTCTGTTTCCCTGGGGCAGTGGCAGTGCCAAGCTGCAGCTGACGCTCGTGGTGTGTGGCGGGTGCCAGCCCTGCTCCCCTGCCACCGCCGGGACGTGGGAATCTGGGCCCAGGGGATGAACAACGTCATTGTATCAGCAAGAAATGACTGCCCAGGTCCTCCTCTGCCCCCTCCAGGTCCTCCTCTGCCCCCTCCAGGTCCTCCTCTCCCCCCTCCAGGTCCTCCTCTCCCTTTACTGTGTGCAGATCAGGGCACTCCGACCCTTCCCCGCTCCTCCCCACTGGAATGTGGCACACGGACTGAGTGCCCACGCAGAGGTAGGAGCAGCAGGTTGTTAATTGGAGCCAAAAATTTCTTCCTTGTGGCATTGCCTTGCAAGGAGCCCAGTCCCAGTGAGCCCTCTGGGGTTATGGCCAAAGCTTTGATCCCGCTGGGACAGAAGCCCCCAGAGGGAGGCAAGAGCAGAGCAGGTCCGTGTCCACTCCCAGGGCAGCACAGAAAGGGGATGAATAATTAACTGCATATGATACAAAGAGTAATAAGAAGAGAGGAGATACTGGGGCCTTTGTGAGGCAGTGGAAAAATAACCTATTTAGAGAAACAAGAGCTACGTGATATTCTCGTGCCGGATTATTTTTCCATAGCCCTCAGGAGCCTCCTGCCCGCAGCAAACCAGCTCCTTTTCCTCAGGGGTGGCTGGTGTGGCCGTGCCCTGGGCTCCAGCACCCCCAGGAGGGGGGGTGACACTGGGCCAGGATTGCTTGGCATCACTCCTGCCTTGTCCTCAGGGATCTGACACCTCCTCCCTGTCTCACCCTCGGGGGCTCCTGGGAAAGGGCCATTTCCCCCCAAAAAATGTCATGCTGGGTTTTCCCCCCGTTGCATAAGGAACACACTCTGGATGAATCCCTCATGGAGTCACTCAGCAAGTGCCTTACAAACAGCTAGAGATTTTTTTTTCCCTTTTCTTTTTTTTTTCTTGATTAAGTTCCTTCAGTTCTCCCTTTTACCTGCCCTGGCTCCTCACCCCCTGGTCCCTGATGGCACCAGGCCACCTTCCACCCATATAGGTCCTGGCACACACAGTTCCTCCCCCCTGAACCCCTTAATTCTCTCCAGGTGGCAGGGAGCAGCTGGGGTGGCTGGAGAGGGACCATGGAACAGTCTGGGAATTCGGTGCTGGGTGCCAGTTCCGACCAGGGCTCGTGGTGTACCCCAAGAGGTGCCTCGTGTGCCCCCCTGTGCTGCCCTGGGGAGCAGTGCCAAGGGCTCACCCCCACCCGGGGCCAGCAGAGGACTGTCACCTGTGCCACAGGCTGGGGACAAGGCTTTGCTTTGCGGGGTGATGCCAACCTGGAGTGTGTATTCCGTGGTTTCCCCCCCTCCTTCCCCAGCCTTCCACCCCTCCTGTGCCCACCTCGTGTGCGTGGGTGCATTTGGGGATGGCTCGGGTGAGTTTGAGATGACTCGGAGGATTTTGGGATCCCTCGGGTGAGTTTGGGATGACTCGGAGGATTTTGGGATCCCTCGGGTGAGTTTGGGATCCCTCGGATGAGTTTGGGATGACTTGGGTGAGTTTGGGATCCCTCAAGTGACTTTGGGATCCCTCGGGAGAGTCTGGGATCCCTCGGGTGAGTTTGGGATGACTCGGAGGATTTTGGGATCCCTCGGGTGAGTTTGGGATCACTCAGATGAGTTTGGGATGACTCGAGGATGGCTCGGATGAGTCTGGGATGACTCGGACATCCCCTGCCTCCTGCTGGCAGCTCGGCACCGAGGGTTTGGCTGCCGGCGCTGCTCCGGGAGCCCGTGTGTGTCTCTGGTTTGCGCTTCAGGGGTCTCCGCTCACCCACGACCTGCGGGAGCATCCCTGGATCCCAAACCCCCCTCCCCTCCCGCCTCCCGCGGCTCTCCCGTTGGTCCGAGGTGGCACGTTCGGGGCGCACATGGCTGTCGATGTGCCCGACACACCGGGACGCGCCGGGGGCACGGGTGCCAGCGGCGGTGCCAGCGGGGGGAGGCTGCGGCGGGGCCCGCGCGTGGCTGCGGGAGCGTGCGGGAGAGGGAGCTTTCTCCTGATCTCCCTAATCCCCGCGCTGGTGACCCGCCAGGCCGCCGCCAGGGGCGGGCACACGGGAATTGCCGCCTGGCACGGACGACGAGGCCCCGGCGCCGGGGGTTGTGGGGACGGGGGGGGGGTCTCCCCGCAGCCCCCCATCCCCGCGGCCGGCGGGGTGTCCCCGCAGGCTCCCGGCGGGTCTCCCAGCCGAGCGCCGGTGCTGGCGGGGCAGAGCATCCCGGGGGGAGCCTCGCCCCCCGCGGGGCCGCCGGAGCTGGAGCGGGGCGGCCGCGGGGTTCTGTGCCTGGTGCTGCCGGGGGGCTGCGCGGACGCCTGCGGGGACTGCGGGATGGTCCACGTGCAGGTGAGCCCCGCCTCGGCACGGGGGGTCCCCCCGGGGGTGGGGGGAGCGGCGCGGGGGCAGCGGCGGGGCCGGTGGCCGTTAGAGGGCGGCGTTACCGCAGCGCTGCGCCCCGTCCGTCCGTCCGTCCGTCCGTCCGTCCGTCCGTCCGTCCGTCCGTCTGTCCTCTCCCGGCCGCCTTCTCCCCGCGTCCCACGGGGGGGGGGTCCATCACAAGTGTCGCGAGTGCCGGTGCTCAGCGCGGCTCGGACCCGCCGAGAATCCCCCGGGGGGTGCGAGGGGCCGGACCCCGGTCGGGCTCGCTGTCCTCGGTGTCCCTCGGCAAGTGACAGCACCAGCTGCCACCGCCGCCCGTGTGGCCCCCCCGGGCCCCTCCCGCGGCCGCCTTGGCCTCCCGGAGCAGATGCTTCTCCTGTGAGACGCTGGAGGAACGGGGGGAGCAGGGGGGCTTTGTGCCGTGTCTCAGCTTTGGGCTCCCACCGGCTGTAAGCCACACTTGTTTATGGGTTCACAACCCAAGTGGGCTGTTTCCCTGCTCCGATCTCCTCTCCCCACGGCCCTCTCCCTGCCCCAGCCCTGCAGGAGAGGGTCTGCAGTGTCCTGGGGCTCTGCCTTGCAGGGGGGACCTGTCCTTACACCCCCAGCCCTGCTGTCCTGCTGCCTCAAGGGCACCAACCCTCTGGACACAGGGCGGGATTCATCCCGCTAAATTTAGATTCCCCCCGGGTCAGTGGCTATATTGGGGCCAGACGGATTACAAGCAGCAGGGAGAAACCTGGAATTCCTGGGCACCCCCCCAGGGTGGCTGTGGCCCGTGGGGGCAGAGGGGTTTGGGGTGGCTGAGGGGCTGTGGGACGGCTCAGCCTTCGCCGGGGCAGCTTGGGGATGGCAGGCAAAGTTCACTGTCCCTGCCCTGGCATCTGCTCTCTGGCACGTCCAGCTCAGCCCTGGGCTCCCTCCAGCCCTCCTGGCATCCAGCTGCCTTCAGTTCCAGGGGGAGGATGGGGTTTCTCCCTCCTACGGCTCCAGTTTCCCAGGACTGGTCTCAGTCCACGACTGGGACAGGGACGGGGACGGGGACTCTGCACAACCCACCTGTGGTTGTCCCCACGTCCACCCCAGGCAGAAGTTTCCCAGGCAGGGGGTTTCCCTCGTTCCCTGCCTCAGTTTCCCCAGCTGGGAACCGGAGCCAGCACATCCACG